CTTTACTGCACTGTTCTCCCATCTCGGGACTGCTCTGGAACCGAGTCATGATTTTTTTGCCAGTGGCATTCTTAATTTTCGCCCTGCCCACTGTAGACGGGGCTTACCATGAGGTCATGGGTGCTATTTAGGTTTTGTCCCATGCTCTACCCATCCCCACCATGACCCGACCTCTCCAAGTTCTTCTTCAGGTGCTATGAATTTCGTGACAAACAGACACGCACACACACACACACACACCGACACACACACGAACTTAGCCGATTATATACGGTAGGAAAATTCAAGCTCAGCGTCCCAGGACTTGTACGTCGTTGTACAGCACATTGCAAATGGCCCGGCTGAGCTGTTGACTTCCCTGGTCACAAAGCTTGTACAGGTAAATTTGTGAAGACCTGTAAACTACAGTTACGCTCGAACAGCCATACATAATAGAGTTTCTACCATTTCGTAAAATTATATGCATCCTGAAACATTCCTGTATAAGCAAAAACAGGCCTCCAATGCAAGAATCCATGAAACTTTGCCCCTCAGCTGACTGAAGAAAAATCTCTGTATACCAACTTCGAATCAGGTGAATTCAACCAATTCAAGAAACTCATCGTCTTCAAAAGATTTTAGTCGACAGAATTGTATCTTTGTAAGGTAAATACCGTAGAGTGGAACAGAGGTGGATGGTCAAATTTGTACTAATAAATGGATCAATCAGCGGTTAAAGTAGTCTCTTTCGGTGCGGATGATGGGCGTGTCAGGGGAGGGGAAGGTGGGCGGAGTAGGCGCAGCGCCAGCACGTCTCTTCTTTTTACTTCTTTCTTGAAGCAACAGGACTAAATCTCGTTAAAATCAGTCGTTTTCCGCCATCTGTTGTCTTACCTTCTTCAAGGGCAGGTGGGGCGCCAAGCCTGGTCCCGAGGGCCCCAGACAGACCCCCTTACCCGCAGCAAGCAAGACTGTGCCAGTATCCACCTTCGCTTTAAAAATAATCCTACATCTTTCAAAGTTAGGCATTTTTTGTTTTCTTTTGCTGACATCTCTATTCACCATCATTTCATTCATTCTGCCATCAATCAGGTAAATTCAGGCTATGCCAAGGTTACGAAACGTTATGACCTGGCTCCAAATGTGGATTTCGAGAAAAGCAAACGTTGAGTTCGGTGCTGCAGTGACAAAAATATTCAGCAATGGCTCGGGTAGGTCTGTACCGTGGAAAAATGCAAGAAAAAAATGCATTGCATCTCCTGAAAACCTAGGAATCTAAGAAGCAATAATGGCTCCCTGTGAACGAAGGTCTCGACAGGTCATTTCCCCGCTTCTACTCAAAAACTGTCCTTCGTTCTTCAGGCCGTGGACTCCGAGGTATACATACGACTTTGTCGATGCTACTTACTGACCAAGAGAAAATAGGCAAACCGCTTCACCCCCTAAATCAGGCCCCAGTTAGATGACGTGTAACGCTGCTGAGTGTGCAGAAGATATCCTGACAGAGGATTAGAGAACAGTTTTCGAGCTGAGAAGCTGAACAAGATTGGCCTCAGATGAATGCAACATACTGTTGGGTTGCGAAAGTGGTGTAGCCCGCATTTGCACACCGAACTATTTTACAAGGAAAACATTGTACCAATCAGGCTTCGAATCCGTCTTCGAAAGTCAAACCAATGCTCACAAGGCACTTGGGAGATTGAAGGTATGTCTTCTTTTAGAAGAAAGGATCAGAAATTTTCTCACCCCAAAACTGCATCAGTTAGAGTGCTTTCAGCAATATTTATAGTTCCTACTCCGCTTTGAGTACAAAGGGCCTTGAACGTTTCTAAAGCGGTGGTTTAGACACTGGAGAATTTCTCCGAAAATTTTCGCTTGTCACCGGAGATGTGTTGCGAGTATTCACACGGTTTTCGGCTCCTACAAGATGGCATTATAGCGGCTCATCAGAAGCTGCTGATGTACTCGTAGTAGCTCATGGTGGAAATGAGCTCTGCTGGTGAGTTTCGCTTCAGAACGCAGTTAGGCGCTTTTTATCTCGGGTGGCGTCAGTCAGCTATTTCGTGTCAGCTTTAGTCTGCCACTTTCAAGGGGCCAGGGCGTTGGAATAGGATCAACCACTCACCCTTCTGTGGGGAACCGCCTACCTCTTTTTATATTAAAACGCAGACTTCTGTAGCGCCGATGAGGAACTACAGGCCAACCCCTCTCCAGGTACATTGCGCCCGCAGTTCTGCTTTCTGAGAATACTTTCAGGAACTGCGATGGAGGGCCAACGACGGCTATTGGGTCAGGATATGAGTACCAGGATCAAGAGATGCAAACGATTTTCTACGCTCAAGGACCATCGATAAGAAGCGCGGTAACCGTGCCTCCTTTCCAAAATATTGAATTGATGAATTTGTGGATAGGTGAGAGCTTTGGAATATACTCGAGATTAGTAATCGAATTATAGTTGCAAAATGAAGCCTTAATAGAACTCTTTAGAACTGCTCAAAATTGGAATATGTACCAAATAACGGTAGCCTCGCTTTTCCGACACAGATCCTATGGAAGCCAGAGCCAATGCCCCGACGAAGAAGATTTGGGATCAGGTGAACATGAGCTCCGTGAAGGTTTTCTAATTTCGAAAACACGGTTTTTAGGGAATGTCCGTTCACGAATGACGAGTCCGTAATTGACTGCGGCAGCTGTACTGTACTCCAGCAGGTACCGCACATTTATTATTGGAATCTCAAATTAACCCTGTGAAATACATAAGTGATATCGTCGCAATCAGTTGAGTCGGTAGCCAGCCATGGAAGGAGCCTAGCGGCTTTTCAATACTGACTGTTTTCTTCCACAAAACGAAGAAAACCGATCAGCATTGGTAGAGCAAGACCCGAGGCGGGCCGATTCCACTTTTGCTGACACCGTCCCGGCTGAATGCGACACATTATCAAGTTTATCTGCAGCGATGGTCGTCTTCTGTCGCTTCTCTGACCAATTTGGCAAGCGCTCGCGCTATCTCGTAATTGCCTGAGTGTGAGCTCGACGTTGATTGAGTGTTTCCAAAGATAGATGTTTCTCGGTAACTTCAGAACCCCTTTATCTCTTGAGAACCTTAGGACTTTCGTCGCGCAGTCGCGAAGCCATACCTCGTCAAAGTTTCGGTGACAGCTCGAGCCCAACGACAGAAGTGAAGGGGGTCACTGATGATCACAATCTTGGGTCTTTGCTTCTTGAACACCACGGCTCTCGCTCCTGGCACTAAAAAAATGGAATCCTGTTGGAAGGGACGACTGGTTTCGTAAATAGCATGAACATTAACGAAGTAGATTGTACAGAACCTCCCACTGAACTGACATTATGCGACGAATCGCGTGATGAAAAGTCGCCTTCCAGGAGGCCTCAGATTCGGCGTCGAGGGAGGGTTTTTGTGGATTGCGATGGATTGCTGCCTTACATATTGGTCGAGATTGAGAGTTCAGAGCACTTTTTCATGGGGCTCCTTTCATCCTCAGTTCATTCCATTCGGTTGGTTCCAGGATGAAGCTGTTCAAGGAACTGAGGAAGTGATAGGGGGTTAAAGTTTGGGAGTGGCAACCAAACTGCACCTTTGTCTCGT